TACAACTGTAAGTTTTTCTATTTCACCACAAAATAACAAAAAAAGGGCAATTTCTTCAAAAGGACTGATTTTTGACAAAGATTGTGAGATCCTACAAAGGAAGATTAACAAAAGGTGTTTACTTAAGCTGGTCTGTTTGACATGATCAATAGGTGAAAATCAGAATAAACTTTATCATTTTATATCTCCTCACAGTTTTCTTCTACCCATTTTACTTTGTCATAGTTTTTTACCTCAGTTTTGGAAGCCAGGTTTCCTCCCCTGCACGCACCTCTCGGGGTCTCCTCCCAGTCTGTGTCAGGTTATGTAGCTCACAGCGGTGGGATGGGGCGCGGAGACGCAGAGTCGGAGTGCACAGCTTTGTAGTCAGAGGGGCTGCTTCCTGTCCTGCATTATTAATTCCTGATGTTCACAGTTGACCTGGCGCTCACACACCTCCCTCCTCAGGCCATGAATCTGGAAGTGTGTGTTTGTGTGTGTGTACCCGACAGAAAGAGAATTAAACCAGTGGATGGATACACCACGTCTAGTTCATTGCATGAAATGTCTCCTTTTGGAGGCCGACTGCTTATAAATTGCTTAATCCTTATCAGCGGCACATAGGCTGGGTGAGTGAGGCAGTATGCTGCTAATAGCTGTTTGTTCTGTACGACAAGGTTTGCAATTTTTTCTTTATAATCTGCCTTAGTTCAGCTAGAATTGGTGCTTCATTACTTCCTTAAATGAGACTGCTTTTACCCAAATACTCAGCCATTGGAGAAACTGGAATGTAATATAGATAATTTGCCCCGAAAAGAACTAGATGGAGCGGAGTGGGGCTGAGCGAGCTGTCACAAAGCCCTGTGAGAAAACTTAACTGACATCCATATAATGAGCCTCTGTGAGGATCTCCCACCATTTTATTGGGTCTTTATCTCCTCTCTCTGAACTGGGAGGGTGAAAAGAAGAAGAAAAAAATGAGGAGCTGCAGGTTTGGAGCAAATTACCCATGCTTATTTATTCAGAGATGTCGCCTCATAGAGCAACCAACCCCCTGGGTCTTCTCACAGGCCCGGGCGAGCGCCAAATCGCTTTGCTGCTTAGAAGGAGAGAAAAACAACATAGAATAAAAAAGAGAGAAGGGAAAAGAAAAGGTTGTAAAAAGAAGAGGGTTGAGGCGGCAGTGGAGAGAGATTACAGGTTGGGGTCAGGGGGGAGGTTGAGAGACAGCAAGAGAGGAGAGGGGCTATAGAGACAGGAAGGAGACCTGAACACAATGGGAAGATGACAAAAAAGGAGAGGAAAATAGTTTTTTTGGGGAAAGCGATCAGATCAGCAGATCAGAGAGATAGTTAACTGGAGCCTCAGAGGGAGGGAAATGAGATGATAGAGACAGAGGGAAGGTGGGGGTGATGGAAACTAATGAGGGAGGAGGCGAGGAGGGGTGCAGGGCTGGTTGAGCGTCTCCCAGGGGTCTCAGAGGGAGAGGAAGATGGCTCGACGAGTGCACCCCCCGCAGAGAAACTCAGCAGGGGGTCAGCTTTTTGTTTTGCAGAGAAAAAAAGAAAAACCTCCTCACCACCCTCAACAGTAACATGGTGATAACAGAGGCTTGTACACTCCATATTTCAGCGGGTGGAGGAGCATTGTTTAGAGAGATGGGGGCTTCTTCTAATTTGGTCCCTCATCTCCCACCCCCACAGTCTCACACAGTCACACACATTCACACACCCTGCCCACCTACCAACATAAGATTAAACACACATTCACACACACAAATATAAATATACAGGCTTTGTCTTAGTATAGTGTTTCCTGTTGTCCCTTTCCGTGTTTTTAACATATCAGATTTCAAATTAAATGAAACAAGAGATTTTCAATCCACCCGTTTTTATGTGCAGTTTAAAAAAAAATGCAATTTGCAGATTAAAAAAACTAGGAGTGGAAAAGTTGGTGTATCGATAGAAGAAAAATGCCATAAAGTCCAATGGAATCAGATCTAGTGAATTAATCATGATGTATATGAAGCATGTGATTTAAACGTCACTCTGCTTCCACTGAAGAGATGACAAATTGCAGCTGGCAAAAACATCAGATGTGTGCAGACTGATAAGGAAACTGTAACATTCCTCAAATGAATACACAAAACAAACATAAATTACATATTTCCATCATGTTTTACGCGTGGCTTTCGTCGGTTTGATGTTTGCACCCTCTTTGTCTACTATGGTTTAATGTCACCAGACTGGAGAATTAGCTCCACCAGCTGTTTGTTTTCATGTGTTCAATTTCTAATATTCACATAGCAATGTGGATGGAGATGCCTATTAAAGTAACAAGTATTTTTCTACTGATTCAATGTGCAATTTACTTAATACCCCACTGTTGTAAATATGGGTAGTTGTACACATACGTTTGTTACGATTACGTTACGATCAAATAGCAGCGTGTCCACAAACATCCAAACATTGCAGGACATAGCAAGTTCAGTAGTATTACTCACTAGTGCAACAGCAAGAGGACCAGCTCGCCATCTGTTCACAAAGCTCTCGCCAACATTTTCTTGCTCTCTCACTCTCTCTTTTTCACTTCTTAGCTTCTTCCATCAACGTCCTCTTCGGTCTCTTTGTCTCTGATGTCCATGGAGGCGGCTGAGCCTGTTTTGTTGCCTGCTCGTCCGTCCCCGGTGTCGCTTCCCTTAAGCATCCCCTTCCTCCAGGCCTGAAAACCTCCTCCTCCCAATGTTCCTGTGCTACAGGTGAAAACACCAAAACTTCCCCCTGGCGTTCTGATGAGCTCCCAGTCCGGCTAACTGAGCTAAGTAGCTAATGGGTCGGTGTACGAGGTGTGATACTGGGGTTCATTTCATGTGTCCACATGTTTTCGTTAAAGATTCTAAAAGTCAACTTCAACTCAATTATTGAACTTTAAGTCTGGTGATATTCTCTGTTTCTCAATCAGCAAATACTACAAGAAGTACTCACTAGAACACCAAATGTGGATTCATCCGCTGCTGAAAATAGTCCCCCCAAAACGCACAATTTGAGTAAAGTTTGCTAAACACATTACTGACTATCAAATAAATATTTAGCCTTTAAAAAAGGTATTTATTCAGAACCAGTTTAAAAGATGTGCTCAGAGCAAAGGGCCACCAACAAAATGGGAAAGTTAGAATGTGGTGAAAAAAATACTAACACATGTTGGTTTTGTTTTTATCACAGGAGTTGTTTACAGTAACAAAAATACAGAATATCACGTTCAGTATAAAAGTATCTTGATATATTGATACAAAACATGGATGGTATTTGCTAATGTTTTATTAACTGTATATGAAATTAATTGTTTGGAGACAGGGTTGAATATGAGGTTAAAGTATTAATTTTCAGCTTTAAGGGTGTTTAAGGTTGTTTATATTCATATTTTGTGAACAGTGGGACTCGTAGACCTTCTTACCCTTGGGGGTGTTATGTATAAAAAGGGTTACAATTCCCAGACGTGGATGTAAACACCCTCGAATTAAAGCTGAAAGTCAGAAGGCCTATTCTAAACCTCAGTCATTATTTAATTTCAAACCCAATATGCTGCTGTACAGAGCCAAAACAAAAGAGTCCAAATACTTCAGGAGATTGTGCTCTATATTAATGGACACCCACAAAAACACCCCTTCTGCTCAGCCTCCTGAGGAGCAGTTTAATGTGGATCTAGAGCAGATTAGCAGGCTAAAGCTAAATTCTGTAATCGCTGTGATGGGCTTAAACAAAACTGAGTAGGGGTCTCCTCAAGGTTAAACTGATTGCTGTCTTTTTCTATTACCTGTCAGTATTCGTTCAGGCGGCCAGCTTCTTTCTCTGCCTCCATTTTATTGCAAAAATGTTCAGGTATTGATCTGGATGGTAAATTTGGTGTGTGTGTGTGTGTGTGTGTGTGTGTGTGTGTGTGTGTATTTTTATCGAGACATTTTCTCTGTAATTGAGTCTTTAAGGTCATATATTTAAAAAAGGAACAAAAAAGTGATCGTATATTTTTTTTATATTTTATCCTGTTTCCAAACAACCAAGCTGATTCGTCTTGTTTCAAGACACAGATGCTCATATCTGAAAAATCTTTATTTAAGTGATTTTTTTTTACTTCTTTAAAGAAAAGTTGGGTTTGTAGGACTCAAGGATAGGAATAAGTTGATGGATGGATTTTTTTTGTTGTATTTAACTAAAGTGGTTGGAAAATATTTGTTGTTAGAAAAAGACTTGAAGGATACAACTGTTTAGACTTTTTAAATTTAGAAATGTTGGTTCTCTAACACTCAACATTATGAAATTTACCAAAAATGTTCACCTAATGCTTGTTAAGTCTGACTTAAAAGCATTAATAAGCAGCTTGTCCCTGAATTGATTTGAAAAGTAAAAGGTTCTTTTCTCTCTCCACCTACTGCCTCATCTATTCAATTAAATGTCTTTGTAGATTCAAAGGGAGGAAAAACATGGAAAGTGCAAAAAGATTACATCTTTTTACTGATATGAAGTCAAACAAAAAGCAACAACTCACAGAGAGAAGTGTTGTGTTGTTTTGTTGCCTTTGTGCAGTTTTGTGCCAGCTCTCTGTAACTTATTTATGATTCAGGGGACTTGACAGCAAACTGAAGGGGGAATATGAAGAAGAAAGACAACAAAAGAAGGTTATAAACTGAGAATCAAGAAGGAGGATCGGCTTGAGTGGAATGGGAACAGAGACTGAGGAGGAGGAGTGAAAATGTTTTGCTCCATAAGTCCTTCAAGGTGATCAGATGGAAGAAAAGAACAGACCTGAAATAAAAAGACAATAAGGGAAAAAAAGGGAGGAAGGAGGAGAGGGAGTGGGGTGTTTCCCTGTGGCGGAGATCTGTTTGTGTGAACTAATCTCTCTCTCTCTCTCTCTCTCTCTCTCTCTCTCTCTCTCTCTCTCTCTCTCTCTCTCTCTCTCTCACACACACACACACACACACACACACACACACACACACACACACACACACACACATTCCCTCCCTCTTTACCAGTCACTCAGTCAGTTGCAACAACACGCTCACCGAGGTCGGCAGCACAAAGCGGAGTCGCTCTCTTACCAGCTTGCACACACATACCACACTACAACACACATACACACACACACACACACACACACACACACACACACTCACACACACGCTCAGACACTTGACACACACCTCCTCAGAGACGCCCCGGGAAGCTGAAGCAAAACTGACTAGAGGAAGGAAGGAAGCAGGAGAGAAAGCAGCGAAGAGAAGAGAAGGGAAGAAGTAAAAGAAGAAGAGAAGAAGACTGGTGCAGATATAAGAGGACATAAAGATATATTTTGGGAAAATATCAGTCAGGTAAGACCTCTTCTTGTTTCTCTTGCATTCACTCTTCTTCATGATAGCACACTGAATCTGAAAAACCACTACACTGTGCACATCACAGCCAATATTTATACAGAATGCAATCTGTACATCAAGTAAAAATCAGTGTAAAGTCCCACTTCATGCTGTTCCGGGTGAGTACCTGTACACTGTCAGTTGGCAGAGTTAACCTCATTTGCCTTCAAGCTCTGGAAGTTTTTCTTCATCTTTTTGGAAGCTTGCTTGTTTATTTTTTTTCCTGTGAGAAAGTGAAGACATAGAGGTACATTTTGAGCTGCTTGTGCTTGCTTTTTAAGTCACAAATGCATGTGGGGAAAGCATGGGAAGTTTAAGGTTCATTCATCTGTGTAGATTAGGTTGACGAGGTCTCTTTTGTGTGCGCATTCAAGCGTGTGCTGGGGACAGAGTCAGAGACAGAGTGAGTTATGAGGAAAATGAAAACAGAATGAACATCTGTAAGGAAGAAAGTTTTGAAACCTAATAAAAGAGCTCCTGAGTTATGGGGACTTGTGCGCATGCAGTTGATGACGATGTGTTTAATGCTAACACTAGTTCCTTTACTTTCGGTGATGCCGGGGATCAGAATCAGTTATTTTTGCACACTAAATAGCCAACCACTGTTTAAAAAAGAAGGTAAAAGTTTGGTTTAAATGGAACTTTTTCTACTTAGTTTGTGTATAATTCTTATGATTTGTTGTTTGACTTGAAGTGCCTTTATTGATGATAATTTGGTATTTGGTATGATTTGGTCTGCAAGGCACTTGGAGACCTCATATATTCCTACGCTCTGTATGAAAAATCGAGGTTGTCCTCCAAAGAAAAACAGCAGCATCAGTCCTTTCAGCTTAATGACCCCAAATGTTTCTTTAAATTCAAGTGACAAAGCCCTCGAGTGACTGTAGTAATTGTGACTCAGTGTAAGGAGTTGGGTGATGTTATTGTACGGCCACAAAGTCCACAGAGGGAGGTCGGAGTGGTTGGATGGGTCAAAAAAACAGCAGACTTTACCAAGCGAGTTCTCAGTCTCCTAACCTTAATGAAGTCGTCATTGGACCCCAAACTAAGATGTTTCTCTAACCTTAACCATAGCGTTGTCATAGAATAGATTTATTTTCTCAACAGTCATTTTGCAACAATTTTGGGGAGCATAGACAAAGGATCCTACATGCCAATATGGAGCATCAGTGTCGCTGTAGGGAGCACTTACAAACTATGTATTTTGTTGTTTAATTTGGAGGACTTGTTGTTGATTTTTCTTGTGCTTGATTTAATGTCTCACTGGTAGTAATGTCAAATATCCAAACTAAAAAAAAAATCTACAGCATGATTAAGCCAAACTCTGAACATGTGCACAACAAAGCAGTAAATCTCAGCCAGCACCACTTATCATGGCACTCCCACATGACTAATTGGTTAAGTGAGTGTCTACCATTAAAAGCAAGACCTACTTTGGAGCGTCTGAAGTATTCAAACAGACGAAACAACCGCAGTCGGAGAGGCCGCGAAGGGACAGACGTGGTGTGTTTTGTGTTTTTTGACCTTCACCGTGTTTATAAAGAGCTGATGGGAGCAGAGGAGGAGATAGAGAAAGACAGAATAGACAGAGAGAGCAAAGGAATGAATGGAGTCATTGTCTGGTCTGTGCGTGTATGGGTGTGTGTGTGTGTGTGTGTGTGTGTGTGTGTGCATGCTGAATGAGGGGGCGTGTTTTGTGCGTCTCAAAACAAACTGTGAGCAATCAGTATCATGTGAGAGGTTAATGTTACACCAGGATGTGGCGTGTCTTGTAAACAGAGATCCTGATTAATAACTGTGTTACTCAGTAATCATTAGTGAACCATTCATCAATAAATGCTGTTTCATAATTTTATATCTACAATACTATGAAACATACTCAGAAAACTCACCTGGTTCACAGGCAGTCATGTGTTTTATGTTGGACTGAATTGTTAGCACAATGACTGGCCAACTGTAGCTTACTTTGAAGGTCACACCCACAAATTCGAAACTGAAAATTAAATTAAATTATTCAAATCAAACTGTAAAAATTATATGCTGCTAAATGTTGAACTGTTCTTGCTTAAAACATCTGCCTGCTGTGGCTGAAAACAACACAAGTTGTGGGCTGGAAAACTAAAACAATGAGCTTCAGTTGCTATAAAGGGAACTGCAGACTCAGTCAGGTGCTAATTTTCTGTGGGTTCATCACTACAAACAACCTCTTTTACATACAAGTAGTTATATAATCAATTTTAAATATAAAAATACTGATTAGAGCAGCTTTAACTTGTTCATGATCAACTATTGGCATTAAAGCAACACAAACAAAAGTAAAGGAAAATAAAAAAATTGTGGCGGAAATCTAAGTTTTAAAATCATTGTACCAAGACATGTCAAATGAAGTCTGAAAATCCTTCCTTTGCTTTCATTCACACACCCAAAAAGTGACGTAATGGTACACAATAGTGCATGGTGACATCATTGGCAGGTGTGGCAACACAAGTGCAATAAACTTTCAATCAATAGGGGTCAGTATAAGTGTTTTTGCTCTGAATGTATTCAATGATTAAAATGAACGACAACTAATTCTCTAAAGCAGCACTGGAAGTGTCTCAAAAATTGAGCAATACATGCATTATTTCTTATAACAAATAAAAAATGTAAACTTGAGTTATATTACACTTCAGAAGAGTTAAAGTGCTCCACAAAGACCAAAACAAAAGAGGATCACAAATGGCCAAAGCAATTAAGACCACAGACAGTGAACAGGCGAATCAATAAGATAGTGATTAGAATATAAAACACTGTCGATAAAATGCAGACAAGAAAAGCAGCAGTAATAAACACTTCACCTTAAACCAATTTAATATTTTTTCAAGGCATATTTTGCTCCAAACTGTTTCCTGTTTACCTTCGGAAGGAATCAGTTTAATTTCCCCAAAAACTGATTAAGATTACCTACTTACGAAGCTTTGCTGCCGGAGCTTCACAGCTACAAATCCTTGTTTAGACAAAATCCTAATTCTGCAGAAAGCTGGCACCCCAGGGGCAATGCAGAGGAGAACAGTCGGTTTTTCAAAACTGAATTTTCTGCTAAAAAACAAAGAGCAAGAAAGAGTGAGGATAAGTATGGGGGAGGTGAGAGAGATGGAGACAGTGACGATGGAAAATTAGGGACAAATCGTGCAAATTTGATGGAAATATGGCAAGACAGTGTGAGCAAGAGCAATTTGGATCAGAAGTCAAATGGATTTTTTAGAAAATTAGGAACATTGGGCGATTTAAGAGGGAGATAAGAGCATGAGAGCGACACCGACAAAGACATTGTCATCTAGGGGCGGAGGTTTGACGTCTGTGTGTATGTGTGTGTGTGTGTATGTGTGTGTGTGTGTGTGTGTGTGTGTGTGTGTGTTTTAAGGGGGTCTCTGCCACCTTGGTAGCAGAGTACATTATGGCTGTTTGGGCACATTAAGGGGCATTAGCTGGAGGAGCAGCCCTGAATAATGCATGGTCTTTATTTATGAGCAGAGTGCATACGTCCTCTGAAGCGCAATGAACCAGGGCACAGACACATATACACACACTCACACACACACATATATAGAAAGTCCTCCCTTTTTCACTCACTCTCTTACACGCTCTCAAAATCACACAATTTGGCAACGTGCACAATACTTATATTTGTGTGAGAAAGCATGACTGTGTGTGTGTGAGAGAGAGAGGGAGAGAGAGCAGCTGAGTGTGTGACTTACAGTATGTCTGAGATACCTGCAAATTCCTACATGCAGACATAAAAAGGCGACAGCAGACAGTCGGTGCACTCCGCTGAACAGTCCTCAGGTCTGACAGGGCAACCAATGAGCCCATTAACGTCTCACACACACTCTTAGACACACACACACACCAGATCACGCAATGCACTTACAAGAGAGTCATATTCAGATGACTTCCGACAATCAAAAGCTTTAAGTGTCATTTTTACGATTTCCTGCTGTCACAGTTTTATCATGGTGTGCTGAATTTTGCAGCCTCATCCGTTACTTAACAGTTTTTTTCCAAAGTGAGACATCATTTAACTCTCACAGAAAAGACTGCATCCTTGAAAGGGAGAGTTACATGAGATACTTCATCGGCAGGGTGTTATTTTTAACAATGGGAAGGTGATTTAAGGATTGGAGCCGTGACAGATTCAGACTGTTTGAGGGGCAGGGGTGAAAAAAACTATAAAGGGCACCATCGCAGTAAAAACTTTAGTCAGGATTAATTTTACCGCGTTTTGTCCACTGCAAGGGCAACCTAGAGATGACCTTGTATCATGCTTTATCTACCATAGAGATATCTAACAGGGCTTTTTTGCTGTGTTTAAAATGTACAACTTCTTACACTTCTGAAATATTTTAAATAACTTATGTCCGAATTAGTCATTTGCATGTTTGAGTTGATTAACTGCAAATAATTCATATTCTATATTACTGCTTAATATTTTAACAGTAAAGTAATGTTCTACTTTCTGCCAGAAGCTCACAACAGTGTGGTTTTACAATCAATTTGCAGAGACTGTATGTTTGCTTGAAATCTGTGATCTATCACTGTAGCCTTGAAAAGATGGTTTCTCAGTAGCTCATAGCCTGGGTTATATGATGAATAGAGCTTGGAATATGTCACTGTGCCATATGTATGTTTTGTCTCAACTGCTGCAATGGTTTTATGTTTACAAAATTGCCATGGTTGCATGTTGATTTTCATCGTTTTCTTCTACCTGGACTGAGAAAAAGACTGCCTGAAAGGTTGGACAAGTTTTGTTTAATGAGTCAAAAACATTTTGTACAGAAACCAGAGACCTTTAAGGTCTTTAGCAGCAGTTTTATTTTAAGGATGTGGTCCGTGTTTAAAGACCTGGAGCTGGAGTGAGGCCATGTACTCAGGAGGTCAGTGTTAACTGTGTTTGTAAAACCTTGGGGTAGGAGTTCATC